GTGAGTATGCGTCACACAGCTTACCATTCCAGATGGTTCTCAACAAACGCTGACATGGGGCTGATCTGCACGGTGTAGGTGTCATTGGCTGAGTATTCGAACAGGCCGTAGTATGGATTGAACAGCTCCTGAGACAAGAGGAAGAAGAACTCTCTGGAAGGACCGCTGTAATCTAACCTGAAGAGAGAAGATGCAACTTCAACTGACAATACAGGCTAATTCTGGACTGCTAAACGGTGTTTAAGTAGTCGACTGTGAACTAAATGCTAATACGACTATTGATCGGATTTGTGCTGCACTTGAGTACAGGAGTGAATGTAAGCATTTCTGAAGACGCCAGTGCTGCCAGAGCTAAGCTGCCAGAAACTGAGAGGTCACTGAGGTCACGGCATCACACGGGGCCTCTACCTTCATGCATGAAAACTCTTTTCTGCGGTGAGGAAGATTCTAACTGCGGTGCGTGCAGTCACGGTGTGAGCTTGTGGAGCATGTCCTTAGTACACTTTGTGGTTACGTTTCTAGATGACAGCACATACAGTATGGCCGCATTACGCACTCTAGTTTTCAGTGGATTCATCTAGTGGTGCATTGTAGTTGTATGTGTGTAGTTGGCATGGGTGAGCACTCAGCTTCTTCCTCACACAGTTTGAGGCTTCTAAAGTGTGTGACAGCAGTACTGTAGGCACTGCAGTGGTACATCCACGGTCACCTGTTCGTGTTTATTTGTCTTACCCCTCCTCCCCAAGGAACGTGACATAGAGTTTATTCCTCTGCAGCTCTTTGCGTGAATATGCCATCACTTGGTTGAAGGTTCCTTCCAGTAGATGTTCTCTCCTGATGAGCAACCTACAACAAGCAGGACAGCTGAAACGCACCGATATACCCCCAAAAAACCTCACCACTGTTTAAGCAATGCTGACACATTCATACAACATAAGTATCATTTCTAAAGGGGCGCTCTGTTTGATTACTGACAAACACATTTAAAAAAAGACTTCACCACTCTCCTTTATAGCTACGACCATGTCTCCATGGAGTCGACACAGTGAACAAATATGTCTTTGGACGTATTTTAAAGTTGCATCAGGACCTATGCTGATACATCTGCAATGTAAATAAATACATGGGCATCAAACTCTGCCATGATAAAACGAGTTGCTCCATTTGGGTATTACTTCGATTCAGTTTTATTCATATAAAGCCAAAAGTTGCCTCAAGGGTCTCAAACCTCGAGGTAAAAACCCCAATAAGAGACAGAAAACCCCAACAATCAAAGGACCCCCTGTGAGCAAGCACTTGGCAACAGTGGGAAGGAAAAACTCTCACTTGATCTTTCCTGGCCCCTGGGCGTATCCTTTAGCTTCTAATTTCCTGTAGAAGTTTCGTAGTTTGGCTTCAAAGTCTCTGCGGTAAGGAGCTGGAGCTCTGGCCCTCTGCAGGCCTGCACACAGAACACAAGTTGCATTACTCTGCCAGTCAGTAAAACTGCAGTTACAGTTACACTCAGCCAGTTATGTGAAGGGAATCACCATCTAGTCCACCAAACAGTCTAACAACAGATTATGAAACCCTCTGAGGCAAAACCTTTTTCAAAGGAATGCCAAATAAAAACGAACTGGTGTCTGCATACAAACATTTTTTCTATGTAAGTGTTTTCTATGTAACACTCACTCACATTCATACTCCAGTGGATGTAGGTCTCCCAGATGGACAGAAACTTGGGGTTAATATCTTGCCCGAGGATATCTGGCATACAGACTGGAGCGGTCCGAAATCTAAACCATCAGCCATCCAATTATTAAGTACCAGCTCTTCCTCCTGAGCTACAGCCACCACTGTTCTGCCACCCAGTTCTTCTGCCTGTGTCACACTGAAAATATGTGCTTCTTGCACAAGTTGGGAAGTTGTTCTACCAACTTTGTTTTGTTCAAAGTGGGAGGCAGGATACAGCCTA